CAGCAGGTCCATAAACGTCTTTAAGTACCTTTCATGACTTAACATGTTTTACTGATATACTTAGTTCCATCTATAACACCTAGAGTAAACGCCTGAGACATTCATACAGTATTATTTTGTGAGAAGTTGTGGTAGCTTATATAATTTTGGTTTAATTCTATAAGTAGAGGTTTAATTTTACAATTTGAGCAAATGAAACTTGGCACGGTTACTAAAATGGGAAAGGGTGTGTTGTTTTACTTGAGAACGTACTTCCAGGAAAACTAAAACCTGAATGCAGCAGCCTAACAGTCAGGCTAATATGTGGCCACTGGTCCCAACGTATCTGTCCTTTTGCCATTCAGTAATTTTGCTCCTATGTTCCTACAGCAGCCTTAGGATTTGTTTGTGTTTGTTTATGTAGGTTGCCTATCCTGACTGTAGCCCAGTCCTGATCATCTCAGAAGCTTCATTGGAAGATCTAAATAGCAGGCTGGAGAAGAAGGTTAAGATACAGAACTTCAGACCAAATATTCTTGTGGCCGATTGCAGTGCTTTTGAGGAGGTAAAATAGCTGTCTTAAATGTCTTTGTGAAGGCTTGGTTATGTTTCTTTGTAACTCAATTTCCTTGTGTGATGTAGCGTACAAGGATGAGGAAAGCTGCTATTCTGTGATTTTTACAACTGAGTTCCAGAGAGATATGGTTTCTGCTTACGTCAGTGCATATGAAACACTGAGGGAGGAGACAGGTCTGTGAATGCTTACTTAGCTTAGCAAAGGATAAAATATGTGTATTCAAATGGCAGGCTGCTACTGAAAGCTCATCTTTAAGTGTAAATTAGGGAAAGCTATGCATGCTATAATTGATCAATTAATGACACAAAGGAACAGTTTGTAAATCAGCAGTGTGATGTTTTATAGCCTTTGGCACAAGAGTAAAACTGACTCTTGCAATACTGCAGTCTGTCACTGCATCTCTGGCAGTATTCTGGTAGTTCAAAAAACACTATCTAGAAAGGTATCTTGTGTTGAAGTGAACTCGTGATAGGGGCTTTTAAGTGTATTTATGTCGTGTTGCCATTTTTCCAAAGGATTTGCTCTGGATAGATCTGATCATTTCCTAGATCTAAGAAGTTCCTAAAATGGGAATGGGTTTTTGTCTTCTAAGAAGGTTTGCAATCAGAAACTTGTGTAGACAAGAAGTGAAAACTTATTTCCACTAAAGATTTCCTTTCTGCAAAAATGATGATTTACCAGAGGTTACAGATCAGATTATCACACATACAGTAAGAACAAGCTTGCTTTAGGTTCCGACAAGCACACGCTGCAGAACAGGATTTACTACTTGTGTATCTTTCTTTCCAGATATAATTACTAGTGGATCCTGAATTGGATGAAAGCAATGACTGTAGAGTTTTCATTAAAATAGTACCATAATGTAATTATTTTGAAGTTGCAAGTGAAGGTGATCATCTGGAATGGTGCTGCCTTTTCTAGGAATGACTTTGCTACTCCTGGAAAAATGGTTGCAGGTGGATAAGTCTAATCTGTGCATAATGTTCCCTCAGGACACGTGGGAGGAGATTCTTATTGGTGATGTGGAGATGAAGGGGACAGTGTGTTGTGCCAGGTAAACGTTTGAGACTGTGATTTTATATAGAAGTATAGAGATTTATAATAAGAAGCCGTTATTGATTCAGCACTCTGTCATTGCAGATGTATTTTGACGACTGTTAACCCAGACACTGGGGTCATGGACAGGAAGGAACCTCTGGAAACATTGAAAAGGTTGTAAAAATACCAGTGCTTCTTAAGCTGTGGGAGTGGATTTAGGATAGATCCGAACAGATGTGAGACTAGTGTTTTAAGAGTGGTTTGAAGTATGTGTGGGACATAATAATGCAGTGTAAAGGTCTGTGTATATTGGCTTTCATTCTACTTTCTGCAATTCTTTATGGTAAGAAAATTCAGGAAGTTCTCTCTTCTTACTTGCAAACTTTACATTCCCTGTCTCTTTCATCTCTGCTAGGGTGAATGCCTGGGATAACAGGTATTTAAAGTCTTTAAAGGTCTAACTTTGCAACTTTGGCATTTCTTTTTATAAAGTCTTTTGTATGTGTATTATACAGGATGTGTGAATACAATCAGGCTTTTTTTCTCCATTTTATCTGCTTGATTCTCTCAATTGTAATATTTATTTCATTTCTAATCTATGGTAACCAAAACAGACATCACTGTTCATATGTCCTCTCCCTCATCACTAGTATTTTGATGTTTAGAATTTGCTACCACTGATTCTAAAGAAGTGCTCTCTCTCTGCAGTTACCGCTTGTGTGATCCATCCGAGCGACACATACACAAATCTAGCCCTCTCTTTGGAAGATACTTTGCTGTTGACAAAACTGGAACGATTCAAGTTGGAGACCCTGTGTACAAGATGGTCGAGTAATGAAAGAGACTTTGATCAGAAGATGCCTTTTCACTTTGATAAGCAAATTGTTTTCCCATTAACACAGTCACCAGCATAACTTTTTCTTATTCCTTGCAATACTTTTTGTGCTATGTTGCTTTGTAAGGTGCAGGGAGTCTTTGAGGCTATGAAGTGTCAGTCATTTCAGATCATGTCATCTATTAGCATCTACTAAACCACATCTTTAGTTTTTCTGGAGGCTGTAATAGAAGAAACTCTAATCCAAGGCAGACTTCACTGAACTACTGTGAGTATCACACCTCCTAAAATTTGATGTCATCTTGATATCAGAATCAAAAATTATGTACAAGGGCTTTGCATCGTGTATTAGATACATTCAGTGCCTATAAAGAACCACAAAAACAGTCATGCCAAGTGTAAAGTAATATGTTGATCACAGAGCTGCCTTTACAGGTGAACAGAAAGTGCAGATGGCAAGACTCTGTCTTTGATTCCACCCTTCTTTGGTCCTAAGCATCTTACCCTACCTATGTCTGGAGGTACTTTTGGCGGTGTTTCTTATCCTGCAGTCGTTTCCTGAAGATTGCTACTGTCTTTCAAGATTGGAGCAATATCAGAAAGAGAAGGGTTTGTGAGCTGACTAAATGCTACTCTAATCTAGAGGCGGGAACACTGGCTAACGATGTGTAAGACTGAGCAATTCATTTAGTTTATGACCTTGATAGAGTCTGAACCATCAATTTTTTCTCCTGTTAAACATACTACAACAGCTAGGCTGTGGAGTAGTGATGCTACTGTATCAGTAGAACTTCCAGTTTGACTGAAAGAATTAAGTGTTCATTGGATCAGAGACTTTATGCACATTGGAGAGGAAGAAAAGCAACAGCTTTTCTGGAGTGATCTGATTCCAAGCCTGCCCCATTCAAGCTGATGTCCAGGCCAATGTTACAGGGCTCTGTGCTCATGCGTAGTTCCTCTCTGGCTCAGTGAATCTCTTGCTATAGAAAGTTAAGCTGCTAAGCAGATGCTTGGGAAGCTGGGGTTTTAAACTGGGCATGTTAACATCCTTACTGGTAACGCATTTAGATCTCTAGTTGCCCCCTGCCCCTATTCTAACCAAAAAGTCAGCCGTTTATATGAAGCTGATAATTATATTTTCGGCTATATTTTATACTGCATAAAAGAAGTAGAGGAGGAAACTAGTTGGATGATAGATAGGATCTTTTCTTTAAATATTATATGTTGAGGTTTTTTAAAAAAAACAAAAGTGGACTTCAAGACAAAAACCAGCCATCTTGACTGCCGGTTGCTTTCTTGTAGATTACTAGATCTACAAAGTGTTGAACTAGCCAAAAAGAGGAATCTGAAAGCGTGAAGGACAAATCATGACCCAATTTGGTGTTTAGATTCTTTGTTTTCTGTTGTGAGTATGAAACTGGAATTTTGCTGCATGTTCACAACTCAGACCTGTGAAATGAAGATTCATTGTGCCTTTCAGCAAATTCAGATGGATGTACGTGGCCAGCCTGAAGCAGGCATATGGGGAAGGTAATTTTCTATTATTTGTGAACTCAAGAGCTGCTGCGAATATCCTTTTCGTTAGCACAATGCTCTGTAAGTACTGAGTTTTCATGTGACAGACAAGCGCCCAACTAGGACTGCACGTTACATGTTGCTGCATCAGGCGTAACAATGCACAAACTAGTGGTTGGAAGTGAGAGAAAAAGCATCCTTTAAAAAGGAAAATAATCCTGAGGATCACTTTTAAAAAGCATATGTTCAAGATCCTTAATATTAGAAGCTGAAACCTCGTGGATTTCCTAGTGGTATTATTAAGCAAAGACAGCCTGCTGGCCTGTCAGAGCAATTAGTTAAGCGTGTGTCTCTTCATTAAGGCAGAGAAGCGGAAGGAAAGAGAGCTGAATTTTTGCCTCTAGCCAAACATATTTTTTCACTGTTTTAGCACTGTGTTAGAAGTTATGTAACACAAATTGTGTGATATAGATCATGTTGCTTCTCATTAGGCTATTGTCGATTGGGCTAATTTGGAAATGAGGCTGTCTTTCCAATGAGAAACTGCTTCTGCCTTTCTGTTAAGAAGACGCCATAGATCCAAAACCCTGATTTGTCCCTGTAAAAGCCCCTTAGAAGAATTTGGCTATAGTCCTAAAACAGGTACATGTCTGAGTACAACACATTTCACAAATGACAATTAAATCACTTGCATGGTAGAAGAGGAGCATTCGGGAAGTGGAGAGATCAATTTATGAGTGTTACAATGTCATTATCTTCATGTGAATGTTCAACTGCTGTAACTGCAGGAATTGTATTTGATTTTGCTAAAGCCTTTTAGGAAATTGACTGAAAACATGTCAGAATATGCTGGTTTTGGCTGATAGACTTAATTTTCTTCACAGTAGCTGGTATGGGGCTGTGTTTTGGATTTGTGCTGAAAACAGTGTTGATGATAGATGTTTTAGTTGTTGCTGAGCCGTGCTTGCCCTGCATCAAGGCCTTTTCTGCTTCTCACCCCACCCCACCAGTGAGCAGGCTGGGGGTGCACAAGAAGTTGGGAGGGGACACAGCCAGGACAGCTGACCCCAACTGACCAAAGGGATATTCCATACCATATGACATCGTGCTCAGCATATAGAGCTGGGAGAAGAAGGAAGAGGAGGAGAAGGACATTCAGAGTGATGGTGTTTGTCTTCTCAAGTAATCATTACATGTGATGAAGTCCTGCTTTCCTGGAGATGGCTGAACACCTGCCTGCCAGTGCGAAGTGGTGAATTAATTCCTTGTTTTGTTTTGCTTGTGCGCATGCAAAAAAATGGCTTTTGCTTTACCTATTAAACTGTCTTTAAACTGTCTTTATCTCAACCCACAAGTTGTCTCACTTTGGCTCTTCTGATTCTCTCCCCCATCCCGCTGCAGGGGAGTGAGGGAGCGGCTGTGTGGGGCTTGGTTGCCAACTGGGGTTAAACCACGACACAGTCATAAAATAATGTTTTTTAAATTGTGTACTTAAAAATGTTAATTGCTTTTTTTTATCTCTAGAGAAAAGAAAACAAAAGTATAAACTTCTATTGAATGCAAACTCTTGTTAAGGTGTAAAATTTGTGAATCTTCTTTTTTCTTGGTTTTCTGTTTCAGCATTTTAACTTTTGCTGCTGTTTCCAGGACCTCATATATAATTAACAGTGGTGATTTTTTTTTTAATCTTACCTCTAAATTCAGGAAAATATGCAGTTGACCAGAGGAAGCCATATGCATAAGAGAGCAGAACCATCACATGTAAGTGGTCTTCAGACTCAATTCTACAATCCTTACAATCTTGATGATGAAAAAGATGTTTACAGTCTATCTGCTTTTCTCCACAGACACAAGAAAATGGGGAAAAATTGATTTTAAAGTAGGAAAGTTTAATACATTCCAGTCAATGCAAGGTCATGTTTTCTATTTCAGGTATCTAAGTATAAAGCCAAAATTTGTTTTACAGCACTTACTTTACCAACATAATTCTTGCAGAAGGCTGTGTGAGAGAAGGACAGTCCTTGCAGGCAGAAATTTCCTGGTTGCTTAAGATTTGAGGTGGCTACATCTTCAGCCAAGACTGCCCTCCTAAAAAAAAGAGAAAGATCCGTGCTTCTGTGTCTGACGGATGAAAAAAGCCTTCCAAAGACATTGCTCCACTTCTCCATAGGAAGAGATTTCTGGCCCTTGACACTCCAAATGGCAAAGGTTTCAAAAAGGGCTGCTACGGGGTGTTCATTTCTGGTCTGTTCTAGCACCTTAAATTGCCTGATTCTCATTTTGAGATCCCTAAGAAGTTCCCTGTACTGCGCAGCTGCAGGGCTGAGGACTACACCTGCGAAGTCTTTGTTTCTTTTGTACAGAAGATTCTTAAAAAATAATGCAGGCATCAAACCCACACGTGTATCAGTCTTTTCTTCAGCTGGAGGACAGGCAGCATTTATACCTCATAAAGGTTCCTGGTTTTACATATTCTACGTAGCCATTGTGTTGATGTTAACAGTCTCTACTTAGAATGTCACTATTACTTGTAATTATTTTTGTGTTTTATCCAGAGGCACTGGTGAAGTCAGTAAGGGTTTCAGACACTGACTCTTCTAAAACCAATCTACTTACTCAGCATGACAATATTTGGATTCTAGAGCCAGAATCTTCACTTTTATTGACTTTCCTCATGTGGGACAAGGGTTGTCACTGTAGATGTGCTTCAGATTTTCTTCACTTTTATTTATTGGTGTTCATTTTCAAGTGTCTTGAAACAGTGCCATGCCGGCCTGCTAGCTGGGCTGTTCTCTGGGCAGTGTGTGGAGGACACTCACAGTGGAGAGGGGAGTACTGGACGCTGCTGTGTGATGGCATCATGTTGCGTGGGAGCACACAGTTCTGCTCAGTGCTGGTAAAGCAGAGATTAACTCTTCTTGGCCCCTCAGCTGCTAAATGCATGTTTGGAATTGTATAACCAGGATATGGGCGGTCAAGCCTAGCAGCGAAGCTTGGACTGAACTAGTGGTGAAGGTGGAAATCAGGTGCCGAAACAAAGACTGACATGAAGCGAAGAGAGCTAAGGAGGTGCCTATCCACAGCGAAGGGAAGGATGGTGTCAGCATGGCAAGTGGCGGTTTGCTTGGTTAGGAGGAATGGTTGGAAGAGGAAAGGAGGTGAGCAAGGCTCGGGTGTGTAGAGGGTGTGTGTCAGGGCTGGAGCTGCAAGAGATGGGGCTGTGAATCGAGGCAGGAAGCTGGGTGGTTACACGTTCTCAAGGCATTTCTGTGCAGAGAGATTGAAAATGAACCTTAGTTGTGGGGTAGGGTCAACTTCCAATATTCATCACAGCCACTTGTAGCCTGGCCTGAGAAATGCCACACTCTCCAGTAGGCAACAGCTCATCACAATGACTTAAGGAAATCAAATCAAAATTGTAGCCTGAGCTAAACAGCAGATAGAGACCGTCTTCTACCTGTGCAGACCATAGACACAGAGAAGGC